GGTCGAGGCTGCGATGGCCGGGAGTGGCCACTGCACTCCAGTCTGGGTGACAGTGTGAGACTCCAACTCAAAAAAAATAAAATAAATAAAATAAAATAAAATAGTTTGGTTTGCTTTATTTTATTTTCGAGTTGGAGTCTCACTCTGTCACCTAGGCTGGAGTGCAGTGGCACACTCACGGCCACTGTAGCCTCGACCTGCTGGCCTCAGGCCATTGTTTCGCCTCAGCCTTCCAAGTAGCTGAGACCACAGGTGCATGCCACCACACCTGGCTAATTTTTTTATTTATTGTAGAGATGAGGTCTTGCCAAGTTGCCCAGCCTGTTCTCAAACCCCTGGGCTCAGGCAATCCTCTCGCCTCAACCTCACAAAGTGCTAGGATTATGGACGTGAGCTACCATATCTAGCTCAGAATAGTTTGTTATTAGAAGAATTTCACTTTCTTTCTCACACTTCCCCCACATGGAAGTCATATCAGATACACGTTCATCAGACACCAGAAGCAGGCAGCCTGGTGGATATGAGAGGCTATGTGTTCTCTGAAGGAGGAATTCTATACCTGCACCGGCCCAGGAAAGTTCAGACACCCGTTTTTTGTTTTGTTTTGTTTTTGAGTTGGAGTCTCACTGTCACCCAGGCTGGAGTACAGTGGCACGCTCACAGCCACTGCAGCCTCTACCTGCTGAGCTCAGGCAATCCTTCCACCTCAGCCTTCCAAATAGCTGGAACCACAGGCGCATGCCACCTCGCCCAGCTAATTTTTTTATTTACTGTAGAGATGAAATGTCATCAAGTTGCCCAGGCTGGTCTCAAACCCTTGGGCTCAGGCAATCCACTCACCTCAGCCTCCCAAAGGTGCGGGATTACAGGCTGAGCCATGGAGCCCGGCTGGCACAATTTTTAAAGGTACATGAGACCCTAGACCCACGTGTCTCACAGATTGGGACAACCTTTGGACTAACCTGTGGTTCTGGTTACCTGCCTAACCCACGGGCTTTGGGGGCTGACCTTCTGCTCCAGTGACAGGGCCAGCCTGTGGACCCAGTGCCTGAGCTGACGCGCACTATGGCCCTCGCAGTAGTTTGCTGTGCTTTATAACAAATGACCACAAGCTTAACAGCTTAAAACAACATCCAGTATTATCTCCTGATAATATCAGGAGTCTGGCACAGCTTAGCTGGGTCTTTTGCTCAGAGTCTCACCAGGTTGCATTGAGGTATCAGCTGGGGTTGGGGTCTCATCTGAGGCTCAGGGGTTATTGGCAGAATTCATTTCCCCCCACGGCGGTAGAAATCAAGCCAGTTTGCTCTTCAAGGCCAGCAGGAGATGGTCTCTCATCAAAATCCTCCTTTAAAGCCCGGCTCGGTGGCTCAGCCTGTAATCTGGCGCTTTGGGAGGCTGAGGTGAGTGAATTGCCTGAGCCTGTGGGTTCAAGACCCGCCTGGGGAACTTGGCGAGACCTCATCTCTACAATAAATCAAAAAAT